ATTACCAAGCATGGACGTTTGTCTCCAACTTTGTGCCTTTGGTCTGTCGCTGTTTTTATTCCCAGTTGCCTTTGGTTGCATTGATGGTAAGCATTTAACATTTTATATTATCTACAAATTTTGAAAACCTTCTTTAGTTAAGTCACCGTACCTTGAAGGCAACTCAATTAAACATACAAAATGAAAGCGGAATTAACAATTCTTGAAGCAGCGAATTGAATATCTGACACTTTGTGTTTCACTACTCCAAACTTCGTAGTAAAATTAAAAATAAATACTTATCATGACATAAAAACCAGAAAGGAAGAAAGCTTAACGATACTTCGAGTCATGCTGCAAGCTGTGAAACGCTCAAAATGAGGCCGAGTTAACGGGGTGACCATTCAAGACTAACAAAGAGCGACTTTTTTTATTCCTTTTTTATTTCATTTTATTTCTTTTGTTGTTGTTTTCAAAAGTAAGTGCTTTTTAAATTTTTATTCAACTTATTATGACTAATTCAACAAATAGTCATGCAAATTCTCGAATATTTTTGTTCATATATATATGTTGAGTAAAGCATTGTATATTAAGTGCTTATTGAATGTCTCAATCGATATTTTTCATATATCTTTCTTGCAAACCTGTTAGCCTAACATTTTTTAAAAGTTTTTTTTTTCGGTCAGCAACGTTTGATATGATTAAAGCTTGGAATACATATTTCTTTGCGATGAAGCAGTGATCTTGTCATGACAAGTAATTTCTTTGCTAACGTTATAAGTTCTTCTGCTATATAATAAGGATCGAGGTGGATTAAACAACATGCTGGAAAGAAATTGTTTGAAGACAGTAGTCCAACCGGAGTTCTCTTTTAGTCGTTGTCATTTTTCACTGCCTATTAGTAGAGCAATGAATTATTAATTGATCTGTTAATTTTCAAGACATGACTGAAATTTCTTATTTACTGTACAAGTTATTAGCGGAAATTAACCTTGGCAAGTTCACTGGTAAGAGTACCACTGTAATCTTGGGCATTACGATAGCGGTGAAATACATAACTGTATCGTCAGCGTACATCAGAATCTGGCATCGTTCTAGATCTATAGGCAGATCGTTGACAAACAGGACAAAGAGAAAAGGGCCAAGAATTGACCCTTGAGGGACACCCAATGTTATAAGACATGCACCAGAGATTTCTTTACGAAAACTCACGAGTTGTTTTCGGTCTGTTAGGTAGTTTCGGAACCAGTCTAACTCAATATCCTTAAGCCCATATGACTCTAGTTTGCTAGTAAGTATTTCGTGATCAACAGAGTCAAATGCCTTGCGCAAGTCAATAAATAACGCCCTGGTGAGCAATCCAAGGTCCATGCCACGCCGGATGTAATCTGAAAAGACAACAGCGGCAAATTCAGTTGAATGGTTCCTTCTGAAGCCACACTGAAAAGGGCTGAGCAGCTTATGTTCGCTTAGAAAGCTATGTAGTTGATGATGTACAACCCTCTCCAACACTTTGGACACAACTGGTAAAACCGAAATTGGACCGTAATTATCCATATCGGTAGACATTCCTTTCTTATACGGTGGGGTTATTTTTGCGTTCTTCTACTCACTCGGCACCGTACCCTGTGACAATGATTCAATTACAATTCGAGTCAGCGGCTTGGCAACAACCACTGCAGCATCCTTCAACATACGCGGAGATATATTGTCAAGACCACTAGCCTTGCTTGCTTTGAGACCTTGAAGTGTCTTAACAACCAGCGACTCATTTATCAATTCAAATTTAAAATTTGGTATTGATTCATTAACTTTTTGATCAACGCTTCTTTTTTTAAAAGAAACACTAAGGCTTAACCCTATTCAGACTGGGGGGGGGGGGCTTTTCGAACCCCCCCTCTGGCAAAATCGTGACAACTCCTACACCGAAAGAGCTATGACGTTCAAATTTTCTGACTTTTCCTAAAATTTATCTAGGAACATTTTGGTATAATTTCCATGGCCATGTGATTAATCATGTTGCCATGGCAACCAGTTTCTGACACATAGGTTTTGGAAAATTTAAAAAATGGTGATTTTTTTGTTTTAAGATCGCGTTTTTACACTTATAGTGCTTTTTGTTGCTAAAATGGTCTTTGCTTGGGACTAGTTTTTGAATTACATCAAAATGTTTCAACATCGAATATTTGGGGGGGAGGGGTGGGGTAAAATTTGTCACTTTTTTGCTTTGACAAATATGCTGCTCTATTTTCCAAATAACCCTTCCAAAGTCATTTGTTTGGGTAATAAACATTAGTTTGATACTTCTTTTATACATTCTGAGCTTTTTCCCCTTTGAAAGTTGCTTTAAATTATAATTTTAACAAAAAAACGGAAATCCAAGATGGCGGATCCAAGATGGCGGACAACCATTTCAAATTTTAAATTTTATTGCTTCCTATTGCTTTTTCTCGCTGTACAAGTGTTTCCTTGTTACTAGTTCATAAGAAAGGATAACAAAGAGATGACTTTACCAATATTATTGATATTTTACGTATCTAAGTGGAAAAATAATAAGAAACATTGAAAAATCGGAATATGACGTCACTGTGACGTCATCATTGGGCGTGGCAAGTCAAAACTGGGTGTGGGGCTTCTTTGTACGGAGATGATCATTGTGTGTAAATTTCATGACCCTAGCATTATTGGTTTCAGAGATACAGAGGGGGGGTCCGAGGAGCCCCCCCCAGTCACAGATTGACCAAAAAAGCCCAGTCTGAATAGGGTTAAGGCGTACAGCGGCTGAAGCGAAAAAATTATTGAAATCATTAGCAATTTTCTTTCCATCACTGGCCTCACTACAAAGCACACCGTCAATATTGATATTTTTGGAACCGCCAGAGCTCTTGTTCCCGGGAATGATCTTCTTCATTATTCTCCAAAAGGCTTTGGTGTCATCTTTATGGTTATCAAGTAACTTCTTGTTGTATGTTTGTTTTGCCCTCTTTACTGAGTTCGTCACACGATTTCCCATAGATTTATACGCAAGCCAGTCTTCGTTACGGGATGATTTTCTCGCCTTTTTTAAAAAGTAGTCACGCTGACGAATGTCTTTCTTTATTTGGCCAGTTATCCATGGACAATTAACTACACCACGTACTCGCTTCTGGATAAGCGGGGCGTGACGATCAGCCACCTTAAGGAATGCGGACTTAAAATTGAGCCAGGGTTTGTCAACACAAATAACATTTTCATTTGCTGTCCCGGAGGAATTCATTCTATCAACCCAATTAATACCTCCAAGGTTTTCACAAAACTTTGCAGGGTCTTTAATATTTTGCATAATTCCTGAAAAGCTTTGTTTCTGGGGCAGCTTTCATCCAGCTTAACTGTCTTATGCAAAAAAACATGTCACGATCGCTCAGACTCAAACTTAAAACCCTGCAGTCTCTAATGTTAAAGTGGGTGGCTAACAAATGAAGGGGTTTACTGATCTAAATTTTCCCTCTGTAAATGTTGTTCAAGTTCGACACTGCCGAGACAACAAAGGCATCATTATTTGTAGTACCTCCGCCACAGTTTTGTTGTGAATATGCGCCTTAAATCGCCAGCTTCGATGCGCCACTAAACACTATAATCGGATCAAAGTCCCTCCATTTATAAACCTCCCTAAAATGTATTAACCCAGGGCTTATAAGCCGAAGTTTACAATGAGTAAAAAAGCGGTATCACAACCGAGTGTTATTGATCTAAACTGTTATTGTGAAAGACTTAGCGCGAGTAGCTGTCAGTCTAACGACGCATTTATCAAACACTGATAAGGAAAAAGTATCCTGCAATGCATACTAGAGTACGAGTAATGTAGCTCTTTGAAATATATATACCGATTTCATAATGAAGATGTTCACACATATTCCATACAATAGGTGAGATAAATTCAGGAAACGCAAGGTTCCGTGCACAGTTTCGGTTCGATTTACACAGCTTTGATCAAAACATTCTCAGTTTCAAGAATATTTTGTTCTAAACCATAAGAAATATTTAATTAGGAGATTAATTTTTCGCTATTTCTATTTCACTTTCTACATTTAGTTCATTTTATTTGCCGGAAAGTAAGCCTTAGAAATTAGAAGGACGTTTGATCAAATCACGTTCGCGCATTCTACTGATTCTAGTCTTATTCTAAACTTCATAGCGGAAGGACATCTGTTAGCAGGGAATAAGTCAGCACAGAATCTGATGATCGGCGAATTTCTGTAATCGTCCATCGTTCTGCTGGTGATGAGCTAGCCGTTGAATCATTTACTCGTCTTGCTTGTTTGGGGCCGACTCTTATTCCGGTCAAAGAAAGAGAAAGAGTGCCTGGCAAGGTTTCCCGAATCAAAGATTTGTGCACTCGTGTCTGGCAAAACTCACTTGGTGTTGAAATATACACTGTTATACGCACCTTATAACTTCATCTGCGCTTAACGAGTGTCTTTTGGTCCATGACTTTCATAACAACTGCTCCACAGAATGTGACTGATAACACGTAATGAAGAAGAGTATCGAAGAATGACTGCACAATTAATGTCACAAAATCTACCTATTGTAAGCGGTCCCTTCGGGATTTTTTGTGTTTTACGTCATCCTAACTATTTCGTACTTGCGGACGCAAACAATAGAAACGTCATCATTGCCTACCGATTCCTCGCGGCCCCTGTTCAAGCAAATCGAGATTTTTTCTATATTGACTGTATGACTGTATATTTCAACTGCAAGTACTTTCCTTAACATACGCGCGAGTTACTAGTCTAAGAGTGCCTCCTCGGGATTTCGCCTTCTGCTCGAAATCCCTGCGAGGGCAACAATCACTTTTACACTCTCAATTCCTACATAATACAGAGCTTTCACGCCAGCCTTTGTATATAAAATCTTATCAAACCTAAAAGCTGAGCTCCAGAATAAGATTTGACTCGTGAGTTTGTTAAATAAAACCAAAACAGAGAAGCTAAAAACAAAACAAATAAACAAAAAGAATTACATATTTATTCAATTGTTTCTTTCCTGTTTCAGAAAACTGTCGCATACTGGTGTTCCCACCACCTTTCTTCTTCATTAATAAACGTTTGGTGAACCACACCATAGGAACTAGGGCTGATGTCGATTTTGAGACCTGCAAGCTGCATTGTTACCACGAAAACAACTGCGTGAGTGTCAACTATTGCGTGAACACACAAAAATGTGAGCTCAACAACGCTACCCACCTTCTGCATGATAATGAGTTTGTGGACAAAGATGGTTACCTATATCATGGAGCAGATGTAAGATTGTCTTCAATTTTATTATTGTTCGACCTCCTTCTTCTTTTCATCCTCCTCCTTCCTCCTACTCTTCCTACTTTTCTCCTCTTCCTTTCCTCCCCTTCTCCTCCTCCTGCTTTACCTTTCCTTCTCCTTCTCTTCCTCCTCTTTCTTTCCTCCTTCTCCTCCTCCGTTCCTTCTCTTCCTTTTCCTCCTCCGATTCTTATCTTCCTCCTCCTCGTCCTCCTCCTCGTCCTCCTCCTTGTCCTCCCCTTTCCGCCTCCTCCTCTTCCTCCTCCTCCTCCTCCTTCCTTCTCCTCCTTGTCCTCTCATTTCCTCTTCCTCCTCTTCCTGCTTCCTTCCTCCTTTCCGTTGTCCTTTTCTACTTCTTTTGCTGCTGGTGTTCCACTTCTGATCCTCAAAACAGTATGAAATATCAAAAATCCTTGAGCATAAAAAGGTCCACGGCGATGATACTTCTTTACTATGAAAACTCCACTAGCCCCTTATTTTACTTTCTTTTTCTTCTTTTTGAAAGAGTGCCTGTGATAAGTCCCCTTGCTACAATGGAGGAATCTGTCAATCCGGATTCTCAGCAAGAGGATATCGGTGTTTGTGTCCTTCTGGTTTTAAGGACTTTCGCTGTCAAGCAGGTAAGAAAGTAAATTAAATAGAGCTAAAAAGAAGCTTTACTTTCACTAAAGATTTTTGCGGCCTTCGAGAACTACTTTTCTTAGTATGATTTGCCGGAGTATTAAATCCAACCCACACTTCAACGTTAGGTGGACTCTTCAGCGTCGGACTTCACTGGACATGTCGGATGGATTTCTGCATAGCGTCAAACACGGACAGCATGTTAGTACAAAAACAATTAAATGATTGTGAATGATCAAGCGGATTGTTAGTTTGATTGCATGAATAGAAAATTGTCGAGAAAAAATATATTGGTTGTCGTATGAAAGATTAAAAAACCGAGGGTCCGATCGAGTGTGAGAAAGAAAATAATTATTAATATATTTGATCAAAGAGTAATTGCGGCCGGCGACAAGAAGAGCCCGCAATCCTAATCTCCATCACGCCTGCACGGTACGTATTGTAGGCAGCTACGTTCAAACTCCCACTAAGAATGCAGTGGAATGCAGAAGTCGCAATCTGATAACGCTCGTTTGGACCTTCTATCACTCGTTATCTGATTACTCCTGATTTGACTTTCACTATCACTAAAACTTACGCAAAGCACAGCGTTGGTTGAGCAAGAGCATCATGTCAGACCTTCGCTGTCGTCCGCATTCCGTAACCTTTAGTACATAACATATCTTTGTTGCCACACTGTCCTACGTAGAATTGATTCAAGATGCATCTTAACTAAAATTAATTATCATTTAGATGTAGACGAATGCCGGTCCAGCACTGAAAATAATTGTAGCATCAATGCCATCTGCAATAACACCAAAGGTTCCTATAACTGTAGTTGCAAACCAGGGTATAGCGGGAATGGACGCGACTGTTCAGGTGGGTGCTTGCGAAGTTTTATCTTATATTATTTACTTAGGCTCACCAATCCTTGCAGAGTCACCGTTACAGCCCACACTGAATTACTGGGGCACGTAACAGTTCCTTCCCTCATGAGAAATAGACCACCACACAGTACGTGGGTTGTTCATCGCCCCAAAGAATTTATCTGTGCCAGGATTGTGAGATGGGGCCTGCGATTTATCGTCCTTATCCGAGAACACTAAAAAGTCTAACCGTTTGCAGATTTCTTCACCGTATTTTTTTTTTTGCATTTGTTTACCTTCTAGTTTTAAGTAATTTTGGTTATAAGAA